TTTACACTGAACGAAATAATTGTCCACATGTTCATGTTTCAAGACATGAACGGGCATTAGTGGCCATGGTGATTAAGCCTTAATAACTGGACCACATGAGGTTAAAGCCCGAAGGGTTGTACATCTAAACACGCTGCATGTTGGTCATAAACTCGGTTAAACAATCAGCGAATATAGAAATAGGCAAATACTAGCATAAGAACAGTTTTTTACAATTACAGTCACACATGCAAACCAAGCAGAATCTAGTACTTGGTCCAGCGACCCTTGGCCTTGAGCACAGCCCGCACACGCCTAGGCATGCTGTCGATCAGCTCACTGCACCAAGCCGCAGGGATTTTCTCCCATTCCACTTGTACTCTGTCCCATAGCTCGAATGCCTGCAGGGGGGCGGGGGTAAGCAAGCAGCTGCTTCTTCAAGCAAACCCACAGATGTTCTATGGGGTTGAGGTCCGGACTAGATGCTGGCCATGGGAGCACAGAGTACGGCTGCTCGGCAAGGTAAGTTTTGAGCATCTTGCATGTATGCTTCGGGTCATTGTCATGCTGGAACACAACGGTCTCGGGATCCAACTCGTAATGCTCAATAGTCTGCTGCAGCTCGTCTTGCAGGATTGAACGGTACAACTCGCCGTTCATTCTTCCCTCTATCTTGCACATGAAACCCCCGCCGTTGTATGTCATGCACCCCCAAATCATGATGGAGCCGCCGCCATGTTTGACGGTCTGTTTCACATGGTGCGGCTCCATGTGACAGTCCTCCCTAATCCAGGCCCAACTACGGCCGTCGCTACTAAACCGGCTGATCTTCGTTTCGTCGCTCCACACCACGCGTTTCCAGTCGTCGATCGTCCAGTGCTGATGGTCCTTGGCCCACTGCCTGCGGTCTTTGACATTTTTCGCGGATAATCTAGGCTTCGACGGCTTTTCTATCGCCCTAACTCTGTGCCGCTTGAGAGTGTTTCGCACGGTGGCGCCCGTGACACTGATGCCGTGCGTAGAGGATATCATTCCCGCTGCGGCCTCGGCGGATTTCGATTCACCAGACACTATCAACCTTATAAATATCCTCGCGATTTGCTATGGTAACTTGCGCGGCCGACCAGGTTTCGCCGGGGACGGCACTAGCTCGTCGAACGTTTTCGGACCGAGGTGGCGGAGGAGCTCGTCATGGACGGCAGACTTTGAAACTCCCAACTCCTGCGCGATTTGGCGGTAACTACGCCCCTCCGCAATTCGCTCCATGATGCGCTTCTGTTTCTCCTCGCTAAGGCGCTTCATGCTGCGGGGGTGTTAGCGCTACACGTAGATCGTAGTATCCGCCCTTAATCTCCTCTGAACCTAACTAGTCTAGATCTAATAGCGCACGAAATAAGGCGCGGGACATTTCGGAAAGATTTGTCCGTGTGGGGTGTCGAGAGGGAAGAGCTGACTCATTAGAGCAAGAGGTTTTTTTGGGGCTATAGGTAGCCTACACAAACTCGTAACTGTCAATCGCGAACCCTGCATGCAATATGTTTATTACAAAACTTGTTTAGGCCCCAATTGGGTGCAAGTTATCATACATTTCGAATGCATAAGGACAATGATTTCGTTCAGTGTACCACCCGCCCCTCCACCAGTTTCTAGACTCCCGTGACGTCCGGTTTGACAAGTTAGTGTCCTACTACACCCGGTTCCCCTGTCGAGGTCTCTCGGTTCCCCCTCCCCCCCTCTTCCTCGCACCCTCTCCTCCCCCTGCTCCCGCTCCTCCAATACCCCCGCCCCCCCCTGGTCCTGCCCCGTCAGGTGTGTCTCACGCTACCCCTCTACCCTCGGTCGCGCGTCAGGTAGCGTCTCCATCCCCGCAGTCCTCCTCACAGTCCCTTCAGCAGCCTTCGGCACTTCCACGACAGGTTACTGTGGACTCGGCTGGTGTTGGAGCTGGAGGTGCAGCCATTGGCGGTACTCGATCTGGGGGTGCTCATTCGAGGGGTGCTGGAGCTGGAGGTGCTGGCGCAGGTGGCGCTAGCTCTGGGGGTGCTGGGGCTGGAGGTTCTGGCACTGGAGGTGCTAGTTTTGGGGGTACTGGAGCTGGAGGTGCTGGCACTGGAGGTGCTAGTTCTGGGGGTGCTGGTGCTGGAGGTACTGGCACTGGAGGTGCTAGTTCTGGGGGTGCTGGAGCTGGAGGTGCTGGTACTGAGGAGACGGGAGCTGGAGGCTCGCCTACTGCGCGTCCCCACCGCCACGACACCCGTTTCCAGGCCCTTCGCCAGCTTGAGCGCGAGGAGCAGGAGCGGGTGGAGCAGGAGAGGCAGGAGCTGCAGCGGTTCGACCACCAGCAGCAGCAGCCGCAGCAGCAGCAGCAGTCGCCGCAGCCGCCACCTTTGCAGCAGCTGTTCCCTCCAGTGAGTGGCCTTCGGGCCCTTGGTCTTCCTTCCTCTCCTCCTGTTCACTCCCAGTCACCTACTGCGTACGGTCCTCCGTTTCCTCCCCCGGACTCGACTCCGGCTGTTTTCTCTCCTCCTCAGTCACGGTCGTCTCCTCCTGTTGTCCCGCATGACTGGACCAGTCGTTGTCCTCCGTGTGCTCGGCCCTTGTCTCCTCTTGCCGACCTCCGCACCGTCTTGTTTCGTTCTCCTCCTCCTCGTTCTCCGCCAGTGTCTGTTCTCCCCTCACCTCCTGAATCGTCTCTCACCATTTCCTCTCACACTATCACTGACTACTACCATGCTGCTCGCCCTGTTGTCTCTCGTGTTCTCGCCTCTCTTGTCACCGACCCTCGTGCCTCTCCGTCGTCTGTCTCGGCTCTTACTGCCGCTGTCGCTGACTTTGCTTCCATCCGCCGTCTTGACTACGCCATGCGTGTGGTGGCTGCTCCACCTCCCCGTCCTCTGTCCGTCGGGGGTGAGTCTGCCCTTGGCTGTGACGTCCTAGAGGATAGGTAGTTTGAGCTGGAGTTCTTAGCAGCCGCTTCCCCCTCTCTCTGCGCCACGCTGCTTTCCCTTGAGGGAGACCCCGACGCCCTTAACATACCGACACCTCGCACGTACCGTGAGGCAGTGTCAGGGGAGTGGGCCTCTCAGTGGAAAGCGGCCATGGATGCAGAGCTATTGCTTGGAGATCCACAGGCACGTACGTCGACGCAGTTCTCCCTCCCAGGGCGAACATTGTCGCTGGCATGTGGCTCTTCGAGGTGAAGCGACCGCCTGGTTCACTGCCTGTGTTCAAGGCGTGCTACGTGGCAAGGGGTTTCAGTCAGCGTGAGGGAGTTGACTTCTTCCAGACCTTTGCCCCGACCCCGAAGATGACTACTCTTCGGGTGTTACTGCACGTAGCAGCACAGCGAGACTACGAGCTGCACTCCCTTGACTTCTCCACTGCGTTTCTCCAGGGCCGTCTACACAAGGAGATCTGGCTGCGCCGTCAACCTGGCTTCACTGACACCTTCCCACCTAGGACCCAGTGGAGCCTGAGGCGGCCAGTCTATGGTCTCCGCCAGTCACCCCGTGAGTGGCACGAGACTCTTCGCTCCACGCTTTGTGACCTTGGGTTTCGTCCTTCCTCTACCGACCGGTCGCTGTTTGTTCGCACTGGTTCCACTCCTTTCTTTATACTAGTGTACGTCGACGACTTGGTCTTTGCTATAGCAGACAGGGCAGCTCTGACTGAGGTGAAATCTGAACTGTAGAAGAGACACAAGTGCACTGACCTCGGTGAACTGCAGCTCTACCTTGGCCTGTAGATCATCATGGACAGAGCCGCTCGCACCATCACACTGACTCAGTCACACATGGTGCAGCAGGTCCTTCGGCGGTTCGGGTTTCAGTTCTCCACCACACAGCCCACTCCTCTTGCCGTTGACCACCGACTCACTGGCCCTTTTCCCGACGAGCCCTTTGAGTGTAGTGGCCCCTACGCAGAGCTTGTGGGCTGCCTCATGTACCTGATGACTTGTACTCGGCCGGACCTCGCCTTTCCCCTCAGCGTCCTCTCTCGCTTTTTTGCGACTGGGAGACACCGTCCTGTCCACTGGACAGCTACTGTGAGGGTGGCAAAGTACATGGCGACTACATCAGGCACGGGGCTTGTGTTGATCGGTCACTGCGACTCTTCCTACGCTGACGACGTGGAGACTCAGCGCTCGACTCAGGGTTACTGCTTTAGTCTGGGTGCTGGTGCTGTGTCGTGGAGGTCTACACGTTCGTCGTCTGTGGCTTCGTCCAGTGCAGAGGCAGAGATCTACGCTGGTGCCATGGCGGCACAGGAGCTTCGCTAGTTTACCTTCTTGCTCACCGACCTTGGTGAGTGGCCTCGCTCTGCACTGACCTTGTACACTGACAACAAGGCCATGATCCTCCTGTGTCGAGAGCCTCGACCAGAGAGCAGAGTTAAGCATATTGACGTGAGGTACTTCCTCCAACGAGAGTTGCAGCGACGCGGCCAGGCACGCTTGGACTTTGTGGCCTCAGAGGCCAACACTGCCGACGTTTTCACCAAGGCCTTGGCGCCTGGTGACCACCACATGTTCTGTGTGCAGTTGGGGCTTGTTGAGGTAGGCACTCGGTTGCTGTAGACTTGCTATTTGCTCTGCTTGTTGTGCTTTGCTATATATATCATAGTTAACTCTTGAACTGGCCTTGTGGCCGCTTGCTTGTGCTCGGAATTTGTGTGGTGTCCTTGAGATCCACTCTGAGCTTGCTTTGCTTCTTGCATTGATTGATCTTGTGACCGTTTGTTCACCCTGCTTGCTTTGATGCCCCTCACTTACCCTATGGGGGTGTGTCAAATGTTATTATAGGTTCTTAGGCTACAGTGAGTAGCACTCTAGGGAGTACAACACTTTTAGGGTTGCTATTTGTATCCCTTGTTTCCCTAGTTCACATACTCCGTTGTGTCTTTACTTTAAGAAGATTGATAATAATTTGAGGCCAATTTTGACTGGTAGGGCACGGCCAACCCAGCGATCAGTGCAGGACATGTGTAATTACGCCCAAAGCAGATGAAGCACTTGGGTTGAGATGCAATTCAAACTACAAGCCAGGTCGGATGAAAAAATCTGGACCTTGGTCCCCTTTTTGAGGAGATGCCGTAAAAAGCCCCCCAGGTCTAGCACCCGGCCGACCACCAACTTTTGAGGCACCTCAAAAGTTGAGGCAATGGCGACAACGATGGCAGCTGACCACACCGACTTGATCTTGCAAGTCGGCTAACCCAGGGCGATGGCAGCAGCAGGGCCTGGCCTGACCTGGCCTTCCTCATTGCACACCATCCCGGACCGGACAATTTGTCAGTAGTTAGTGCGGGAGTGGCCCGTGAAGCAGCCCGAGTGAGTTGTGGGAGTGGTGGGAGTGGTGGGGGAGTGGTGGGAGTGGTGGGAGCGGTGAGAGTGGTGAAAGGGGTGGGAGGGGTGGGAGTGTTGGGAGCGGTGGGAGCGGTGGGAGTGGTGGGAGTGGTGGGAGTGGTGGGAGTGGTGGGAATGGTGGGGGAGGGGTAGGAGTGGTGGGAGTGGTGGGAGTGGTGGGAGTGGTGAGAGTGGTGGGAGTGGTGGGAGTGGTGGGGGAGTGGTGGGAGTGGTGGGGGAGTGGTGGGAGTGGTGGGAGTGGTGGGAATGGTGGGGGAGGGGTGGGAGTGGTGGGAGTGGTGGGAGTGGTGGGAGTGGTGGGAGTGGTGAGAGTGGTGGGAGTGGTGGGAGTGGTGGGAGTGGTGGGGGAGTGGTGGGAATGGTCGGGGAGGGGTGGGAGTGGTGGAAGTGGTGGGAGTGGCGGGAGTGGTGGGAGTGGCGGGAGTGGCGGGAGTGGTGGGAGTGGTGGGAGTGGTGGGAGTGGTGGGAGTGGTGGGAGTGCGCTTGGAAGGACTATTACCACCGGAGGCGTGCCTGCGAGATTTGTCAGTAGTTAGTGCGGGAGTGACCCGTGAAGCAGCCCGAGTGAGAGTGACAGCTACAGCGGGTGTGAGTGGAAAAGTGGCTGCTACCGCCAGAGGGAGTGGTGGAAGTGCGCTAGGAGTGATTACTATTGCCGGAGTGACTGCCTCCAAAGTGACTGGTACCGCCGGAGTGACTCCAGGAGCAAGGGGAAAGAAGCCAGAGTGAGTGAGTTGTAAGTGAGAGTGTTGGAGTGACTGCTACACTGCTCGAGTGACTGCTACTTCTGGAGTAGAGAGTCCTTATCGCCTGTGTGAGCGGTGGAAGTGCATTTGGGAGAGGTGGGCGGCGAGCAATAACGGGGCTTGCTGCATTGCATGTGAGGGCACATGGAGTGAGCAAGTACTATCGCCCAAGCGCGTGGTGCAAGTGTGCTGGGAGTGGCTCCTACCGCCCAAGTGATTGGTGGAAGTGCATTTGAGAGAGGTGGGCGGCGAGCAGGTGGGTGCGGAAGGAATGAGTGATAGAGTGACTGCTAGCGTCTGAGAGAGCGGTGGAAGTGCATTCGGGAGAGGTGGGCGGCGAGCAGGTGGGCATCCGCTGGCTTCTGCAGCACACCGTCAAACCCCCCCTCTGCACACCTCTGCACCACTCCGCGATCCACGTCTGCTGTCAGAGCCACTATGGGCACCTGCAGAGACACTGGCTGACCACCACCACCACCAGCAGAAGCACCACCAGCAGCACCAGTCCCCTCTATTCGCACCTCTTTGCCCGTCTCCCTTTGCAATAGCCTCTCTCCCCCCCCCAGTCCCCTCCACAGCTCACACCACGCCTGTGCCTCTCCCCCGGCGCTGCTGCTCTCCCCCCTGCGCCCTCCCATATGTCCCCCTGCTTCCCATTCCCCTGCTGCCCATTCCCATGCTGCACTACTCCCTGCTGCCCATTCCCCTGCTGCACTACTCCCTGTTGCCCATTCCCCTGCTGCACTACTCCCTGTTGCCCATTCCCCTGCTGCACTACTCCCTGTTGCCCATTCCCCTACTGCACTACTCCCTGTTGCCCATTCCCCTGCTGCACTACTCCCTGTTGCCCATTCCCCTGCTGCACTACTCCCTGTTGCCCATTCCCCTGCTGCACTACTCCTTGTTGCCCATTCCCCTGCTGCACTACTCCCTGTTGCCCATTCCCCTGCTGCACTACTCCCTGTTGCCCATTCCCCTGCTGCACTACTCCCTGTTGCCCTCCCATGTTTCCCTCGCAAGCCGATGCTCCTTGTTGCTCCCCTCGCTGCTCCTCTCCCTGCTCCCTTTCCTCCTCCCTCCCATCCTCTCTTCTCTGCTGCGCCTCTTGAGCCATTTCCAGCATAAACTTTCTCTCGTACGCTCGGATCGCCTCTGTTGCTGCAAACCTGCCAAGGCGAGGAACGAGCAATACAGGGTGACACGCTTGAGGTTCACAAGCCGACGCACCTTGCTGCTGTTGAAGGAGGGAATTGATGAATTGAATAATGAGCCAAGAGGCCCTTTAGTACAAACAATGAGCAAGAGAGAGATGAGAGAGAAGCTTACCCTATTGGCCAATGGGTGAGCTTGCTTGTGGCCCAAGCAACCACAAATGTGTTTTGGTTGGGATTGGTTGAGTTAAGGACCAATCCCAACCAACTACAAAATGTGGTTGGAGGGTACACTAAACAACCCTCCAATTTATAAATGTGCTACACATCTAATTCTAGCCTATGTATGTTGTATAAAATATGAAATTACAACACAACCCCCCAACATGCATAAGACTAGAAGGCTAGAATCAAGAGGTGGGAGGCGACTTAGGGGGAGTGAGGCCAAGGAGATGAAGTAGTGAAGAGTGAGCCGCATGAGGAAGAGCTTTTGTGAAGTTGTCGGCAAGGTTGGTCGCCGAGTCAATCTTGTCGAGCCGAACGTGCCCCGCCTGAACAAGATCGCGAATGAAGAAATGACGGAGCTCAATGTGCTTGGAGCGCCCGTGAAACACAACATCCTTAATGAGGTGAAATGGTACCAAACACAGCTGGCGTCGGAGCGGGAGGTGCGAAACCCAAGTTCAGCAAGGGTGGCGGCAAGCTTAGCATGCCACTCCCTAGGGGCCTGTCGGAGCCCATACACAGGTCGACGCAGCTGCCAAACAAAGTTAGCTGGGAAGGGAAGGTGAAAGCCGGCTGGACGCTCCATGTAGATTAGCTCGTGGAGGACGCCTGGCAGAAAGGCGTTAGAAACGTCCATCGAGTGGATCTCCATATTTAGGCAAGCGGCGAGGTCGAGCACGGCTCGAACGGTAGCAGGTTTGGCGGTAGGGGAGAAGGTATCGAAGAAGTCAACAGCATACCGCTGCGTGAAGCCCTTGGCACAGTAACGAGCCTTGTAGATGGGCAGCTCCCCTGGCAGCTGCTTGACGCGAAACACCCACTTCCCCTTCACCACGTTCGTTGAGGCGGGAGGGCGAGGCACATCAACAAAGGAGGATTTGGCGATAAAGGCCTCTAGATCCTTGATGATGGCGGCGAGCCAGAGAGGGGCGTCGGGGCCAGCCATTGCCTCCGCATACGTGGTAGGGATGAAAATGGAGGGAGCAGAGGAGAAGGCGAAAACGGGTGTGCCGGAGAGGTCGAATGTGATGGGTAGAAGCGAGGGGTTACAGAGGTGGAGGTCAAGGAACTCCTCATGGGAGTCCTCAGAGAGGGAGGTGTGGAAGGCGGGGATGGCTGCTGGTGCTGCTGCTGGTGCCGTTGCTGGTGCCGATGCTGGTGCCGCTGCTGGTGCCGCTGCTGGTGCTGTTGCTGGTGCCGCTGCTGGTCCTGCTGCTGGTGCCGCTGCTGGTCCTGCTGCTGGTCCTGCTGCTGGTGCAGCTGCTGGTGCCGTTGCGGACGCTGCTACTGGTGAGGGAGAGGAGGCAGAGGGGGCTGTTGCAGGAGGAGGTTGATGCAAGACAGCCTGGAAGAAGTGGTGAAGGAGAGGGGAGAGAGGGGGGAGGGTAGAGGAAGAGAGGGTAACAGGGGGCGGTGCACCAAGGATACCGTCACGTGACCTGGTATGGGGGTACCGGGTAAGTACGGTGCGGGGAGGAGGGGAAGGACGGGTCGGTGGCGAGGGAGGGGAGAGGAGGAGGGGAGGGGCACTGGGAGAGGAATGTGTGTGGGAGACCGGAGAGGACAGAAGTTCCGGGTCAAAGATATAACCAGACGAGGGAGGGGCACCGTGGGACGGGAACGGCAAAGGGGGGGGAGGCGGGAGGATGGGGGGAGGAGGGAGTACTTGGGGAGGGGTGGTGTTAGACCAGACAAGGGGATGGGTGAGAGGGGGGAGTGGGTCAGTGGATGGGGGAGAGGAGTAGTAGGGAGTGAATTCATCAAAGACCACATCCCTACTACGGACTAGACAACCTGAGGGGGGATGGAGGAAAAGGTAGTCAGGTGAGGTAGGGTTATGACCAAGGAAGATGCAGGGAAGGGCGCGAGGGGCAAGCTTTCCCATGGAGTGGGAGGGGTCAGAGGGATGAATAAGGACATATGCCTTTGAGCCCCAGACACGAAGAGATGAGACATCAGGCTTTTCCTTTGTTCACGGCTCAGTGGGAGTGGTGGAAGGAAGAAGGGGGTGAGGGTAAAGGTTAGTAAGGAGGGCGGCATGAAGGAGGGCGTAGCCCCACAGAGAAGGGGGGCAGGAGGCGCCAAGAAGACACCGGGCTGTTTTGGTGATCTCTCGAACACGACTCTCAGCCACACCGTTCTGCTGTGGGGAATGAGGGAGGGTGTAAGTCTGAAGAAGGCCACGAGACTGACAATAGGAGGAGACTTGGTTGTTAAGGAACTCACCACCACCATCAGAGTGAAGGCGGTGAACAGGGCAGGGGATTTGGGGAGGGGAGGGAGGGAGGAGGGGAGACCGTGGAGGAGACTGGAGGAGACCGAGGAGCGCATAGTAGCGAAGTTAGGGTGACCTAGCCTGTGATGGAGGAGGATGGTAGGGTGGGAGAGGGAGCGACAGGAACAGTCAGAGTCAGGGGGGCGGGGAGGGAGGGGTGAGTTAGTGGGAGGGAGGGGAGGGGGGGGGGAGGAGAGAGGGAGAGGCGACTTGGCAGGTGGGGTGGGCGGGGAAGCCGAAAGGTGTACAGACGGGAACGATGACAGAAGGGAATACGAGATAAAAGGCGACCTGTAGCAGTATTGTAAAGGGCACAGTAGTTAGCACCACCTGGGAAGACAATGGTGATATTGGCTTGTTGGAGGGACCTTTGGGAGAGGAGGTTAGTGCGTAGGGAGGGAATGTGGAGACCGGTGACAGTACCTGAGGGAAAGAGAGGACAGGGTAGGGTGGAAGTGTTGTGACAGGGGATAGAAAAACTGCTATCAGCACCGAGGAGGGAGGTGGGTGTGGGGAGAGGGCGCCGTGTACCAGCATCACGAAGGACACTGTCAGTGGCTCCACTGTCCAGGACGAAGTCAAGGGTGGAGGAGGGTGAGGCAGAGTACTGGAACGAAGTTTCATTAACAGAGGAAGGGTACATGGGAGATGCAACAGATTCAGGTTGACCTAGCAAACCGACAAAACCAGAAGAGGGGAAAGCGGTCACACTGCCACCTGCAGACGGCACTGGAGATGCACCCGAGAGATGGGCTGCAGAGGCAGCACTCCTGGCAGTCCAGGTAGGAAAGGGCTGCTGCTGGGAAACGGGAGGAGGAGGGAGGAGGGGCAGCTGCGGCTGTAGGTCGAGCTGCTGCTGGAGATGCTGGAGCTGCTGCTGGAGTTGAGAAAGGAGAAGCTGCTGCCCATACTACTGTAACCCCTGCTGCTGACTCCCAAGCTGCTGCTGCTGCTGCTGCTGGGGAGGGGCAAGGGCTTGGTGAGCTTGTGTGGAGGAGGAAGGCTCATAGAGGGGAGAGGAACGGACTTCAAGGGGAGTGGGCCGTGGGTTGAGGGCAGACCAGCGAGGAGGGGTGCCGGTGTTGCCACGGGCAAACCACTCATCATTGAGTGCCTTGAAGCATGTTTCTATGGCATGAGTAGTTTGGCCGCAGCGCTGTCCCTGAGTGGGACCGTAGCGAGGCAGGTACTGACAGGGAGGAAAGGCAGCTGCCGCACCGCGACCCGCACCGCTGCTACCACTGCCACCACCGCAACCCGGTGATCCGCCTTGTCCACCCCCACGCCCACCACCACGCCCACCCCCACGCCCACCGCCACGCTCACCCCAGCTGTTGCATGGCTGAGCTACTGCGACTGTGGAGGTAGAGTGGCGAAGGATCTCGGCTTCAGTGGTGATAATCCACTGAGCGACTTCAGCAGGGGTATGGTGCTTGGAGAGAAGCTGCATGTAGGCAAGGTTGTGAGCGTCGAAGGCAGGTGTGAGGCCCTCGAGGAGGTGGCAGCAGATGACTGTGTCCGGGTACACCACATCGAGTGCTGCAAGGCGCCGAGCAAGGTCTAGGACACGGCGAGTGAAGGCAGCGGCGCCAGAAGTGGAGTCCATGGAGAGAGTGCCGAATTCTTTGATGAGGGCGTAGAGGGTGGCAATGTCTTGCCGATCGAAAAGGTCGACGAGGAGTCGCCACAGGTGGGAGGAGGAGGTAGGTGAGAGCTTGCGTTTCAGGGAGGAGGGGACGGTGGCGAGAAGAATGGAAACCGCGCGCCGATCGGCAACTCACCAGGCAGTGATTTTCGTGGTGTAGTCGGCAAGATCTGCGGTGTAGGTGTCAAGGTCCTTCTGGTACTTGCTGTAGCGGGCAGCGGCGTCGTCATAAATGCGCTTCTCGTCCTCGTAATGCAGTTGCTGGTGCAAGTGCTCTTGGAGATTGGTGCGGTAGGTGCGGATGGCGGTCTCCGAGCTCTGCAGATCGTTGACATTCGGTGCGAAGGTGGGAGGATCACCAGGGGGAGAGGGCTCGGCGCCAGAGTGGGTGGGGACAGGTCCAGTGGGAGCGGTGGGGGCCACAGGCTGAAGTCCACCACCTTCCTGGAAGACAACCGAGCGAAGGTTGTAGCCGCTGATCACAACAGAGGAGAGGAGAACCTTGACCGAGTGAGCGTAGGAGTGCCAATTAGCAGCAGTGTTGTCGGGTAGCAACTCGAGTGCATCAACAGTAGCAAGGTCGACGGAAGAATCCGACGATGCCATAGAGACGAGGGTGGGTGGAAACAAGGGCATGCGGAGGATGGGGCGAGGGTACTGCTGCTGGTGGCGCTGTTGGTCCTGCTACTGGTGCCGCTGCTGGTCCTGCTGCTGGTGCCGCTGCTGGTCCTGCTGTTGGTGCCGCTGCTGGTCCTGCTGCTGGTGCCGCTGCTGATCCTGCTGCTGGTGCCGCTGCTGGTCCTGCTGCTGTTGCCGTTGCTGGTCCTGCTGCTGGTAGGATGGGAGGAGGAAGGGAGGAGCGGAAGGTGGGGGAAGGTGGAGGAGGAGGAGGGGGGGAGCGATGTTATGGGGGAGGCAGGGGGAAGGGTGCTGCTGCTGGCGTCGCTGCAGATGCCGCTGATGATGCTGCTGTGGGTAGGGACGAGGAGGGCAGCCCTGTGGCAGATCCGAGCGCGGGAGGAGTGGATCTGGGCACGGAAAGTGCAGATCTGGTCGCGAGGTATGCAGATCTGGGCGCGCACAGCGCAGATTTGGATGCGCGGAATGCAGATCTGGTCGCTCTGAGTGCAGATCTGGATGCGCGGAATGCAGATCTGGTCGCGTGGAGGGCAGATCTGGTCGCG